CGGCGTCCACGCGGCGGACGGCCTGCTCCTCGTTCAGCAGGTACCGGTGGTACAGCTTCTTCCACGGAATGAACTGCGGCCCCGGCGCCGAAGGCATCAGGAAGCGGACCGGCCAAAGCACAGAGACCCCCGTCAGCTGAAGAGGGACTGTAACTCGCCGTCAGAAAGCAGTGCGCGTCGGGAGGGACCGCGCCCCGCGCTTTGGCTGGAAGCCAGGAGAGCCGGGTCTTGGCTCCAACCCTGGTTCGCTCCAGAACCTGGAAAGGGCTCGCACACCGGCTTCCCTGTCTAAAGCATCGGGGCACAGACAGCTCAGACTTTCAGCGGGAAAAGAGACGAGCGCTGTGGCTTAACCAACATCCGACAAAACTGACTGGAAGACACACACCTTTAGAGAGACAAAGGACAACACGTAACGACCAAAGAGTCACAAAGAATTCACCAAGAAGACGTAATAACTATAACCACATATGCACCAAATAATAACACTCCTAAACATACAAAGCAAACACTGACAGAATTGGAGGAACAGCACCACAGTAATAGTAACGCCCCAATTCAGTAATGGATGGCGCCACCAGACAAACGACAAGTAAGGAAACAGAGGACTTGAACAGCACCCCAGACTAACTGGAGCTAACAGATACACAATACTCTACCCAACAACAGCAGGAAATACATTCCTTTCAAGGGCACATGAAACGTTCTCCAGCATAGATCACTCGTTAGGCCACAAAACAAGTCTTAGCAAGTGTAAAAAGACTGGTTATATAAAGTATCTTTTTCTATCACAATAGAATGAAACTAGAAATCAATAGTAGAAGGAAAACTGAAAAATCCACAAATATGGAAATTAAACAGCACACTCCTAAAACAACCAATGGGTCAAAGAAAAAAAGTCACAAAGAAAATTAGATAATCCCGCGCCTTTGGGAGGCTGAGGTGAATGGATTGCCTGAGCCGACAGGTTCGAGACCTTATCTCTACAATAAATCAAAAAATCAGCTGGGCGTGGTAGCACATGCCAGTAATTCCAGCTACTCGGAAGGCTGAGGCGGAAGGATCGCTGGAGCCCAGCAGGTGGAGGCTGTGGTGGCCGGGAGCGGCCACTGCACTCCAGTCTGGGCGACAGAGTGAGACTCCAACTCAAAAAAGAAAAAAAAAGAAAATTAGAAAAGACTTTGAGACAAATGAAAATGAAAACACAACACAGTAAAACCCATGGAATAAGTGAATGCAGTATAAGAGGGATGTTTGCAGGTGTAAACCTCACATTTAAAAGCAATATCTAAAACCAACAGCCTGACTTCACACTTCAAGAAACTAGAAAAAGAATAAACTAAGTCTAGCATTAGCTAAAAGGAGATCCCTCACTTATCCCCTCTGTGACTACTCAGCCCACACCAGAGAGATCTATTTAGTGACAGAAACATTGTGACACACACAGGATTCACATCTAAAGGCAGAGAGCCATTGCTCAGAAACTAAGATCTAGGACTCCAAGCCCAGAATGGAGCAGAATGGCAGGGAATTTCCCCCAAAATCGTTTAGGCTCAGAAGGCAAGCACACAACATCTTGAGCGATCTCTCTTGCACTCTATCATTGCATTGTCAAACTTCAATATGATTGAAGGGAGATATAACCCCCGTCTCTGATTTGTTCCCAACAGCTAGTGAAAGGGACACACCAGCTAGGCCTAACATTCTCCCAGCCCTCTGGCTCACCCGAGAGCCTGCACCTGGCGGGGGGAAGTATCACTAAAAAACAGAGGAAAGGGGAGAGAGGCAGAGTGGTGATATGGCCAACTGTAGCACCAAGAAGTCTTTGAGAGTAGGGGTTGCCCACTGTGTCCACTCTGGGCGATTCAACACAACACTCATTTATTAACACTCATTTACTATACGTAAAAGATCGTGCGGTACCACAGAGAAAGCAAAACTAAATAGGACGACCAGCTTACATGCCCGGCCTCTCTCCATGAGCTAACCGTTTTAAGTATGGAGGAGGCGCTCTAGAACCGCTGTGTGACATGTGACACAGACTGTGTGACAGGCTACAGTTGCCCAAAGAAGAGAGCGTAATTCCCTTCGGTGGGGTGGAAGGAGGAGGTCGGGATGAGTGGAGCCTTGGAGAACAGGTGTGATGCCGACAGAGCGATGAGCCCTCTTAGTGGGAAGGGGCCTAGAGACCCCAGGGGGGGTCAGGAGCAGCTGGCTGGGATGGGCACCGCAAGCCGTCGGCTGCAGGCGGGAGACCGGGAGGGTGGTTGCGGGGAGGTGGCCAGGAGGCGGGCGTGGCCGGGTGGGTGGGCTTCTGAAGGCAAACGGAAACGCCACTTCTGGAGGGCTGCTCTGACAGAAGCATGGATGACGCGAAGCTAGTGCGTGCTCTCCGAGAAGACGGCCGCAGCCTGGCGCAGCACTCACCAGCGGGTCACTGATGACCTCCCTCCAGAGGCGGCACACCAGGCTCAGATTCCAGTAGAGGTCTTCCACCGGCAGGAAGGCGAAGACGTGCCTCAGGACCTCGCTGGGCAGGCTGCAGATGTGGCTTGGCGCCTCTGGGCATGGCGTGGCCCCCAGAAGACCGTAGTACGGGTCGCAAACAGGCTCCGGGCCAGCATCCCCGGCATCGTGGTCAGCTTCTTCAGGCTCTGCAGAGAGCTGTGACACACCATCCTCCACTTCCTGCCTGGCCCCCCCGGGCTGTGTGCACGGCACAGACAGGTGATGCCGTGGGGCCTTCTTAGAACCCCCATCCCACTGGCTGGTGCCTGTGGCCGGGTTGCTCTCTTCCTCCGAGGACCGAGATCGCTTCCTGGAGGGCACAGCACACCCCGGCAAGCCCAGTCTCGCCTCATCACCTTCCTGCGCCGGGGCCCAGCTGCTCTCTGCAGGAAAGATCATGTCACCCTCAGAGTCCTGACAGTCATCCTGGCCCACAGAATTGCTTTTGGCCATGTCATTGGTGCGCAAATGCTGGCCAGCTAGGCAGAACTCAGAGGTGCATCTTTGACGGCCTTGACCTGTAGCGAGAACCCAAACAGAATAGACGAGAAATGAACAGTGACTGCTCACCAAATAAGGCAAACTCATTTTTACTTGCCTGTGTTAACAGAAGAGACAAGGAAATATGTGTGGGTCAGGTGGTCATATAAACAGTTCATCAAATGTAAAAATATTTGCCTGTGGCCCTATCACATAAACAGACCTATTTGCCAAGGGGCAGAGCCTAGCCCTCGGGGCTGTGGTGACCCACACCGCACCAGGTACACAGGCACAGAGGAGCAGCTGCCGTGGGAGCACCTGAGTGGACAGAGGTGAGGAAACACCTGCCCCCACGCATAGGCCTGCTCACACACGCCCCTCCCAGCTCACTCCCGACAGGACAGAACGAGAAAGGAGAATGCCTGAGGCTGTCAGGGTTCAGAAAATCCCATTTTTCTCATTGGGTGGAGTTAGAACCCTTTTATTTTTATTTACTCCTATGAAGCTAACATATTAATTGGTTTTATCTATATATATGTTTTAATTTTTAAAATTTTTATTTTATTTTACTTTTTGGTGTCGCAGTCTCACTCTGTCGCCCAGGCTGGTGCAACAGCACACTCATGGACACCGCAGCCTCAACCTGCTGGGCTTAGGTGATCCTTCTGCCTCAGCCTTCCGAGTAACTGGAACTACAGACACATGGCATTATGCCTGGCTAGTTTTTGTCACCAAGTTGTCCGGGCTGATCTCTAATCCCTGGGCTCAGGCAGTCCTCTCACCTTGGCCTTCCAAAGTGCTGGGATTACAGGCTAAGCCACCGTGCCCAGCCTTAATTGATTTTAAAATAAAATAAGAAGGAAGCCAGGCACAGTGGCTCATGCCTGTAATCCCAGTACTTTGGGGGGCTGAGATGGTTGGATTGCCTAAGTCCAGGAGTTCTAGACTAGCCTGAGTAACATAGCAAGATCCCCTCTCTATATAAAATCAAAAATATTAGCCAGGTGTATTGGCGTTCACCTGTAGCTCCAGCTACTTGGGAGGCTAAGGCAGAAGGATTGCCTGGGCCCAGGAGATTGAGGCTGTGGTGAACCATGATCATGCCATTGCACTCCAGCCTAGACGACAGAGACCCCAACTCAAAAATAAGAGAAAATAAGGAGGCATTCTGAATTCTTTTTCTATTATTAGTGTGGTCCCTAATCTCTGCCACACATTTATTCAGTCAGCATTCACTAGCACCTATGATTCTGAGAGGAACAGAAAGTGGAAAACAAGGCATCCCCTGACTCAGACTTCCCAGGCATGGTGGGGAAGCCCAGACACATGGCATTCCCAAGCTCCTAAAAATGAGTTGAAAGTGCCGGTGAAGTAAGCACCTTCCCAATATGCAGCAGTAGATGTGGTTCCTTCCTCAATGGCTGTAGCCAACATTCGCACTTTGGAAAATAAGAGAATGGACTGAAACGAGATTTAGCGTTTTATAGAATTTATGAAACTAAAACCGATCATTTTTTTTTCTCTACTGGGGAAAAAAACAATTATAACTGCTTCTAGGGCAATTTGATTGTGGCCAGGGCCGAATCCTGGTATCTGCCCGCTGCTGAATCGAGTCACACCCGGTCCCTCAGAGCCTGCTGCCTTTCTGAGTTAGGCCACAAGTCCTTGTCAGTAAGGAACTCACAGGCAGATGAGGAGTTGACATACAGGGAGCCAGCCACGGGGCAGAGAGTATGAGGGAGTTGACAGCTGCCATGTACAGCTGGGTACAGTGGCTCCCGAAAAGTGAGGGGCACACATGACAATGTTCACAGACTGGATAATGTCTGAGTTGGGGTCTGAAACTGGACACACCAAAGGGAAGTGAGGCAAGGGCGTGACCTCAGGGGGAACCCACTTGGCACTTTGAGAGGGGGGAAGCCCACGCTGCTAGGAGCAGGACTTCCAGGTACTGACAAGAACCACCCAGCGATGGCAAGTGCAAGCTAGCGGCCATCACAGCTTCAAGGAAATCCTTTACTGTGGGTTCCTGGGAATAGCTCCAACATGACAGAAAATGACCGTATTCAAGAGCATGGGCCGGGCGTGGTGGCTCCAGCCTGTAATCCCAGCACTTTGGGAGGCCGAGGTGAGCAGACTGATTGCTTGAGCCCACAGTTTGAGAACAGCCTGGGCAACTTGGCAAGACTTCATCTCTTGGCCAAAAAAACAACAACAAACAAACAACATGAACTCTGGCCAGGCACCATGGCTCATGCGCTGTACTTTCATGTCGTATCTACAAAAAATCAAAAATTAGCTATGCATGGTGACATACACCTGTAGTCCCAGCTACTCAGAAGGCTGATGTGAGAGGACTGCCTGTGCCCAAGAGGTTGAGGCTGTAGTGAGCCATGTTTGTGCCACCGCACTCTAGCCTGGGTGACAGAGCGAGACCCCC